TGGAGCCAACAAAGTGCCCCAGACCGGACATTACTGAGCAGCTCCTTTGAGGCTGACCGTGAGTCACATGGGAGAATTACCCCCCTCCTGCCCCCCCACCCATGGGTCCTCACCCACAGCTTTGAAGTGGTGACAGATTTTGTACAAACAACATAAAACTTCCAACTGGGATTTACCACCTAGGCCAAGGAAATGGCCACGGGGGCAGTTGTGTGCACTTTATAGGGCTGTTTTGTAGCTTTGCTGCCCCTGGACGGATGCTCCTTTGTGACGGCCACTTTGAGAACGCCGCGGAAGAGGGTTCCCAAAGTGATAACGGAACAAATGTCCCAACAAAGGCCCACCACACAGGACCAAACACACTCAGGCTGGGTGTGTGTGTGTGTGTGGGGGGGGGGGGGGGGGGGGGGGTGAGAAAAGCCTATAATCTGTCAATCTGGTAATCTGTCAGTCCAATCACATTTACCAGAAATAATAGGTGGTGGTTAAAGCCTGGTTCCGTGAGTCATGTGTGGTTTACTGCAGTAGAGTTTCAAAGAACTTCATAGAACTCTGTAAACTGTAGCATAAGTGTTTTTAGCATCGTGCTAGCATGTAGTATACTGTAGTATACTGTAGTATACTGTAGTATACTGTAGTGTTCTGTGCTGTAGTGGAGTGTTTTGTATTGTAGGTCAGAGAGCAGGTACAAACCCTGCTGATGTTCACAGGAACAAATACTACAAATACTTTGTCAGAAGGTGCTGGTACTACAGCTGTATACTTGTAAGCACTGTGGGACAGACTTGGTATAAAACAGCAGTTCTTTCTCCACGGATACACGGAGAGTTTCCCGGGTCATTTCTGTCACGTGATCATTTGCTCAGGTCAACATGAGAGCAAAGAATTTTCACTGTGTTCCAAATCTATGTGATGCAATTTCAAACGCCCTTTTAAACCAGCCAGGCTGCAGTCAAGTAATACGACCACAAGAGGGCGGTGTTTACTGAAAATACACGCTGCCTTTCAGCGAGTCCGACATCGACCGGCTCCACCTACGGCAGTCGTCTTCAAAGATGAAGATGTCAGTATATTTAAGTGATGATTTTTTTTCCACGTTGAATACTGACCTATAATTAGATCTTATTTGTTTTATGAAACATTTAAAATGTTTAAGCTTCAAGTTCTTCTTCTCCCGTTGGTGTTACTGTCGGCATTGTTGTTGTATTTCATAAAACCATACATGTAAGAGCTAATATTTTAGAAATTAAGATCTTAAATTATTATTATTATTATTATTATTATTATTATTATTATAATTATTATAATTATTATTATTAACTTCAGTTTACATGTATTTATTGTTGATAATTCTCCCCATAATTTCAAACTGGCCCAACATCAAACAACAATAAAACACTGCGGTGTTTGTGAAGGAACAGTCCAGAGATGGGCTGATGATAGGAGGACAGAGACCCACCCCAGCCCGCAGCCTCACGGACTTCATGTGGGCTCTGGGTTCCTTACCCTTATCAGGAGTCAGAGATAAGAATGTGTGTGTGTGTGTGTGTGTGTTTTGTAGGTTATGAGGACCTAGAGATCAGTCAGCAGGTTCGAACTAGAAAGTGTTTGTTTTTCATCTGTTCATTCATTTATTCAACCTTTCACCTTCTACAACTTCATCTTATTTATAATTAATAAAGGTTTTGAATGGATGGTGTATTGTTTTTTTGTCAAATATATTACATTTTTGAAACATTTTTATTTCCATTCATTTTCCTAGGGAATCAAACCTGTGACCTTGCTGCAATGCAGAGCACGAACCACGTGGCCCAATGATATTATTATTATTATTATTAATAACAATAATACACTTTATTTCATAGGCGCCTTTTAATAAATGTATGAATATAAAGAGCTAATTTTCAGTAATCTAAGATTATACCGATTTTTTTATCTTGTTTTTTTTTCTTCCTTTTTTTTTAAACTAAATCCGCAGCAACGTTGTCGGCATTTTTATGTTTATTAAAAAAAAGTATAAAACAACCAAAGAGTCAACGTGTACAATGTTACAACAGCGTGTACCGGTACTGCATCATATAAAACAGTACACGAAAATAACTCTTTCAGTACATACAAAGTCAAAGTACGAGCAGTGACGGGACAGACGTCAGACACCGCTCACTTCCTGGACAGAATTCCAACGCGATGACGTAAGGGTCAGGTGACCCTGTGACGTGCCCGTGGTTGTGATTGACAGACGTCAGATATGAGTGATTCAGGAGCAGAGAGTCACCTGGGTCTGAACAACAATAACAACAACAACAGAAGAAGAAAAAGTAGAAGATTTTGTTTCCGGTCCGGTCACCGGAGGGTCAGCGGACCTGGTCCACTCTCGGCTGCGGCCTGAAGTCGGTCTCCGTCGGCCTCACCTGTGATGGAGGTAAAGAACGAGTCGCGTGAACTTTCTCTAAACTGAGTTGGAAGGCCGGCCCATCTGCTGCAGCAAATTGTTCAACTCACCAGGGAGGGGGAGGGAAGAGGAGGAAAGGGGGAGAGGTGGAGGGGAGGGGGGGTCGAGAAAGAGAGGGAAAGGAGGGAGGGAGAGGTTTGGGGTTTGAAAACAGCTCCTCATGTCTGCGGAGAGAAGATCCAGGCTGTGAGCGAAAAGTTTTGTCAACTCTGAGGGAACGGCAGCAGAAGAGTTGGTCCTGAGGGAAGAGGAGGGAGGCGAAGACAAAAGAGGGAGGAGGGGGGAGGAGAAAGAAGAAAAGGAGAAGATGAATGTGAGGAAAGACGAGTTAAAGACGCCTCTCTGACACTCCGACGTTAGCCGGACAGCGGCGGAGCTCGGCGCGGTGCTAACTTTCTCCCAGCTCCTTTCATGGAGCTCCTCCTGAACGCCTCGTGCTGCCTTCACGGTCCGACGGTGGCGGCGCCAGCGCTGTGCTAGTTTACGGGAATCTGTCCGAAGTTTTCCACAACAGGACGTGAAAAGTTTTGGGGACGTGAGGCTGCAGCCGTGACGGTAAGACAGACTGTGGTGATGTTGTCGTGAGTGGGGGTCAGGGAGGGGGGGGAGTCGGTCTGTTTGTTTGTTTGTTTGTTGACTCTTCTAAAGTTCGTCCTCATCTCCTGTGAGCAGCAGCTTCTCATCTCCTCATCTCCTAGGAACTTCTGTGACTGCAGAATCCCAAACATTCTTGTCGTGTAACTTGATCCATCTGTGAGAGAAGTGATCAGAAAGCTCGGCGCCTTCCACGGAGGGAGCTCTCCACGGAGGTAGTAGTCGGTGGTAGTAGTCGGTGGTAGTAGTCGGTGGTGGTGGTCGGTGGAGTCTGCAGCAGATGAAGCTCCTGCTCCTGCTCTCTCCAGGACTCGGAGTGAAGTCAGTGGATTCAGGAGGAGAACTTCTCAGAGTTGGTTCTCACTTTAGACACGAATGGAACTGCAGCTCCAACTGCTCTGTGGTCTTTGTGGTCTTTATGTTGTTGTTACTGGTAGTAACAGTAGTAGTAGTAGTAGTAGTAGTAGTAGTAGTATTAATAATAGTAATAGTAGCACTAGTAGTAAAAGTAGTAGTGGTGTTGTTCAGAGTACTCCAGAGTAGTTGTTGTGACTTGTCAGTCAGTACTGTGTCAGTGTCTTTTCATCTGTCTGACTCCAGGTCTGTGTCAGTGGATCAGAGCTGTTACTGCTGTTACTGCTGCTGCTGCTGTTACTGCTGCTGCTGTTACTGCTGCTGCTGCTGTCGACTGGTTTTGTCGACTGTTTTCTCTCGGACAGATCAGTCAACAAACACTCCATGCCTCTGTTTGCTCCTTGACCAGTGATGTTTGCTGATGCTTTTATCCTCATCCACCACATGATCTCCAAACACACAGACTCACGGGGGAGGAGAGGGGGGGGCACTTGTGTCTTAGAACTGTTGACCTACTTCAACGGTACCAGCCGGTGTTTGACTCCGACCCTGTTCTTCTGAACAAACGGAAAATCTTTGGAGTGAATTAAAGTTAAATGTAAAATGTCAATCTGTGGTCCACTCCGGTCCACTCCAGTCCACTCCAGTCCACTCTGGTCCACTCCAGTCCACTCTGGTCCACTCCACGATGACTGGGATTAGGTGATTTGCATGAGAAGAAAAAGGGAAAAGTTTTAGTGCGTTTAGTTCTTTGTGAGGACAGAACAGTTCCAACAGTTGAAGTGAAAGGAGCCAAGAATGGATGAGCCCATTCAGCCGGTGCGGGGGCTCAGTGGAGACCCCGAGCGGCAGTGTCACTTTCATCTCCTCAGACACTCGTCTGCGTGTCTCCTCTCTTCATCTATCTGACACTGCCGCCTTTCTGGTAAACTGCAAAAATGTAATCAATCATATACTGGGAAACGGAGGTATGCACTGGTGGTGTGTGGGGGGGGTGAGGTGAGGG